TTCTAAGATTTCCTAGCTGCTTCTATGCATTACACAGCATCACTTCCCCAGTAATAACTTTCAATTTCATTCACCAAAGTTGATACACAAGCTGAAGTGTCAAAGACAGAAGTATCACACATTTTCTGACAACTGGTAGCAAGTAGAGCAGACTGTACAGATTAACTTCATCTTTCCTTTGGTGAGAACACTTATCTGATGTGCTCAGCTTGTCAGTGAGCAAAGACAAACTGGGAAAAGGACATGTTCCTCCTCTTGCCCAAAAAGGTAAGGGGTGTAGAAATGAGATTAAAGGGAACTCAGCAAAGAACTGCATAGACAACTATGTAGGGACCGGGGGATGCTGGTCAAGTATCAGCCACAGGGATGCTGGTTAAATATCAGCCACAGAGCACATGGAACTAAATCTCATCTTCCTGCTTATAATGGGAAGCTGAGGGAGTTTCACTTTTTTCTCTCTATCCCTACTTGTAAAGTACATGCATGCTGTAAACATTTGTAAGCCATTAGCTAGAACCAAGAGCACATGTTGTAACAACAAAAGCTAGGTCTGTTATAGCCATGGGAATTCTTCCCAGTGAAACTCCCAGAAAGGGAGGCGGAACAGTATCTCGGGGACCAGCTGAAGTACCACCAAGCAGGGGCAGGTCCACAAACATCCAGACCAAGCTGCAGCAGCTGACTGTCTAACCCTTCCTAAAAGGGCACTCCAGTGAAGGGGAGTCTGCGACAATTATGCACAGTACAGTGCTCAGAGTTAGAAAGCATCCCTCACACCTAACCACTCTTTTTGCTGAAATCCAAAGCACAACTTGTTCTACAAGTGGCACACAGAAATTACACAACACCAACAGTTTGCTCCTCTCAACCATTTACATACTTAAATATTATTTTAAAAATTCTTTGCTTATCTTTTGTTTGCCTGAAATTATTTCCTTCAGAGTTCTTCCCAACTCAGACCTTCCAAATTACGACTTCTGTTACTGTCCTGTAACAAATGCCTTGCCCTACCTATTTTAAAATTCAGGGTCCAAAACAGGAACAGTGGGGCCTAAAGGGAAGTATTGTTACTAATTACATAAAAGCAATTTTCTTTTGATTTCTTTCAGATGCTGTTAGCTCATTTAATTGCAGTACATTTAGTAAGCCCTATAACATTTGTCTCCTAATACCACTTACTCCCTGCAATGTACTTTTGCATTTTGTGATTCTAAACTGTAACAGTCCATGTTTGTTTCTCAAATTTTATCTTGCTAATTTTGCCCATTTCCTCTAGTTTATTAAGATAATTTTGAAAGTGTCCTATATAATGAAGTGCTTAGCGTTGGAACAGAAACCAAATCTCACCCCTCCATCTCCCCACCTCCAAATTATTTCTACCCAAAGTTCACATCAACATTCAGAGCCATTTGTTATAAAGATTGCAGATAAAGTCAAACCCACTTGATTTGTGGAAAGCTTCTATTGGCTGAATGGGCTTTTAAATGAACTAAAATCTAGTAAAAAAAAAAAAAAAATGAAGAAAAAAAAACATAAAAACCTACATGAAAAAGCAGACAGATACCTATTTCTGTTTTGTTTTCAATAAAAACCCAAGGCAACTGGAGTACTGAAGTGACTTCATCTGACTAAAGGCACAACACTGAACAACAGCAGAAGCCACAGTAACACTGTGTACTGCTCATAATACACTATCAGGCAAAAAGAGAAACCATCTAGTAAGAAAGAGACACCTTAACCTGACATTTCAGAAATAACTACTCTATACCCTGCGTTAGTTTCCCATAAGCCCCATTTCTTCTAAAAGCTTTGTATGTCCTTGTGCTTTTGTGCATATTGAAGTGTTGGAGGGATGAAAAAGCAACATTCCCAAAACATGTGTTAAGAGACGTACAGTCTCGCCAACAAAGAGAAGCCAAGAAGGCATGCCTCATGCACTTTATCACATAAAGCCCTGACACCCAAGGCAGTATTTCTTTTCTTGCCTGTCATTTCTACACAGTTGCTAAGTTATTCTATCTGCCCTATTTGCAGCTATGACCAATATGAGCTCTTTAAGTTCCTTCATACTTAAATGTGCTTGTGAGGCCTGACACTGGTTTTCTGGATTTCTACTGAAAGAATCAAGAACATTTAAATTGTGTCCATCCTCTCCTTCCACTCTTAAATCTTGAAGTAATACATATCCATAGCAAATCAGGAAGGAAAAATGTAATACCTGAGGACACAAGTTAGCCAACAGTCTGGTGATTAAGGCCCCCCTTCAGAAGCCCGATTTTGTCATGCAAGATGATCTTCTAGTTGCTTTTGCTTTCACATGCTTCACCTAAGCATCCGCAACAGTCATTGTCAGAGACAACAGCAAGTTTAAGCCTTTAGCCTGACCTAGAATTGGTTTTGTTCTGTTCTTAAATAAATAAATAAAATAAAATCTTCTAAACCAGAACCTGTTTCAAAAGAATGCCATGGACCCTGCTGAATTCTATGCAAAATCTGCCCCGTTTGAAATGCTACGAGAATGCTTATTGCACTGATCTTTTCAGGACCAAAAATTGATGAAGGAATACCTAGTTTGCAGATGCAAAGGCTGAAACACAAATGGAAATCAAGCTGTTCCAACACTCTGAATGCCCACTTCTAGCGAAGTTTCACCTTAATAATTAAGCATATCAAATACCTACAGATGCTGCTATGTGTTTCTAGAACTGGAGACTAACAGCAGCACACTTGAGGTCCTGCATTTTGAAAACAGAGAGTTGCATCCCACTTGTATTTAAATTCTTTCATGGCCCCAGCCTTTCAACGAGTAAAGATAATGGGAGCACAGATGCTGAGCACAGCAGAAATCAGTCACAAGGGGAAAAGCGAAACCAAACCACGAGAATCATTTCAACACCCCAGTTATTTTCATATTTTATGAAGGAACTTTTTTTAATAATAATGCAAACCTCAAAGTTCACCCAGTTACATACATTCATTTTCATGATTTATACAATTATTGCATAAGACTTGTGGTCATTTACATCTTCCAGTTCAAGTGACATCAGGTACCACAATTCTGTGTTAAATTTTAGTTATACTTTCAGGCAATTAAATGTGAAACAGAACAAGACTAAGACAATTCCGTTCAGAAAGCCTTCTTTACATTTGTCCAGATGGAAAGGCTGCATAATGGAGACACTTGTGATATTTAAAATAATCCCAAACCAATCTGAACTGCTTTGGTAGACTGCAGTGGAATGTAATGATAAAAAAAAAAAATTATAAAAAAATCCCAAGAAAAACACAAAAATCCAAACAACCTTAATAAACAAAAACAATTAAGCTTGCAGGCTGATAAGAACTGGCCACTTCCTTTCTGGCAAGGCAAAGCTACTTCTTCAAGTATTTAGAAAAATGGACATTAAAAATAGTATTTCTATTAAAAATAGTAGAAAAGTAAAATAGACTATTTAACCTCTGCTAATAAGTGCCAATGAACTGCTGGCAGTGATGACACCATGCTAGGAGCAGAAACCATCTTGATGTAAAGCCACACGAAACAAAAACTCAGATCTAGCAAAAAAAATGTGGGTCAATGCTTCTATCTACTTGCAACAACGTGTTTTGCAAGTGCATGGCTGAAAATAAGCACGGTAACACCTCAGAAACCAGTGCAAGTGAGTTACTGGGTGGATTATTCTGGAACAGAAACAAGAGACCAAACACATACAAGAGAATGGCTTAAGGGCAAGCCTACAAGAGTAAAGAAAGATTGCAGGGGTAGCACACAGCTCCATTCAGATTTGTGCCACATATATGCAAGCTGCAACACATTTTGTTTCGTAGCACAACTCAAACAGAAGCTGAAGATAAAGGAGACAAGAATTATTATGCAACTTCTGAACAGTGAGACATCACAGAACTATGCTTTTGAGATCAAATGCACCAGCATACCAGCATTTTTCTCTCCCTTACACAGAAAAGAAGGAAAAGATGGAAGGATGAGGAGAAGGAAAAGTGTCTGTGCTTTTATCAATGTAGAGATCATCACAAGAAATGTCAATTTTGGTGACCAGAGTCTCAACGAGAAGGCAGCACCCCAAAGGGTAGTTTCATTTTTACACACAGAAACAGTAGTTGGGATTGATTCTATTCTTCATAGTGATTTACTATTTATGTGACAAAGATTCAGGCACACACACCTTTTTTTTAGAGTAATACTAAGGAATAATGAAAAGCACATGGCCATGGCTTACCATTCATTCTCCACTTTAGATTTGTTGACAAAGTTATTTACCTAAAAAGCATTACCCAGATGAAAGTGAGTGGAATACAGCATGTGGTTCATTCTTGCAAGTGGTTGAGCCCTTTCAATTCCCACAGACACATATGAAAATTTTAACTGCTAAGCACCTTGATTATCCCATTCAACCTTTTCTTCTCTCTCTCTTCTTCTCCCCCCCAACCCTGAAGCAAGAGACTCACAGTGCTACATTGCAGCCAAAGTTCATTCCCCTCAGCTTTTTCACAGAATATGATACAGCATAGAACAGGACTTGGGAGAAAGTAGAAAAGGTTCACTAAAAAGCAACATGAGAATACTTACTCTAAAGGAGAGCTCTATTTTACCACACTGAGAACAAGTGCAATTGCTTTGTTTGAAGTTCTAACTGCTCACAAAGTTACCAGCATGATGCAACCCTCAATCAAAAACAAAGAGATTGTGTTCTGACATGATGAATAGATTTCCAGGAGGTGGTAAGATGTGCTGGTGTCTCATTTCAATAAAAATAGTTTTTCAACTCTCACTGCAAAAAGCTGACGGATTTTGTTCTGGTCCTGCCTAATCCATTCCTGAACTGCAGAGCACAGCCCTTGCCACACGGGCCTACCAGAAAAGGCAGTTCCATTTTCTTGTGATGAAAGAAGTAGCAGTCTCAGTGGTTACAAAGTTCATGTTTTAAAGTGCACAGTCATTTTAAACACACTTTCCCTTCTTCCTTAAATAAAAAAAAAAAAAAAGCTGCAAAACTTCGCTAAAATCACAACTTAAAATCAAATCCAATCAGCAAGATTCAGATCTTTCACATTAAAAAAAAAAAAAAAAAAAAGAGATGAACCAGAAATAAAACCCTCTTTCTGCAGTGAATTGCCACGCCAAACCTCACATGCTGTCCTACAAGCCTCTCTCCTAACAGCACCTCCCAGAAAATCCGTTCAGTTTCTTCCAGCTGACAACCTCAAGAAAACAGAGGCCTAAATAAGTCAGTCCTTCCCAGCAGTCACCTACACAACCGCAGGTGTGGATGCTGGTGCAGTTTTTCCATCAGCTCTTCCTCTGTAGGTTCTTCCAAAACATCTCTACAAGAAAACGCACGAGCTGTTAGGGGCAGCAAAGCAAACTTCTCAGCATTTATTTTTGCAACGCACATACTGAGATGTAACATGGGCTTGTTTCAAGAATGAAACAAGGAATTAAAGTTACAATAAGTTGATGCTCCCTAAAGATGCATCTCTTTGCATCTCTCCTTTGTGATCCATCCTTCACAGATGTGTCATGGAAACCAGCAGCTGTTTTCCCGTAAGAAGCAGGGAAGCAATTTCCTGCACACAGTACAATGCAACTGAAGGTCAGGAGATGTGTTTTCCTGAAGAAACTCCCAAACGAGAACATGTTCCCAATGCTACTGTTGAACATCCAATGTGCACCAGAAGTTCCATTTATGCATGATCATCAAGTATCAACTCACCATCCACAATTTCCTAATAAGCCAACAATGTGCATCATTTTGCTCATCTTCCCTTTTCTTCTCCCTCCCAGCACAATTACCCCCATCCCGCCCACCCAGTACCTCTTCTCCCAACATGCTATGGTCAAAAACCATATGAAGGTTAGGTGACCAAATCAGCTGAAGCCAGGCTAAAGTACTTACTGTACTTTTCGAAAGTAACAGATGACAGTTTGCTTCAGAGGGAGGAAATAGAAGACAAGCCTTTTACCCTCTTGCAGCCAGCCCACTCTCTTTTGTTTTAAAGACGAACATCAAACACTAGATTGATTATCAAGCCCATGTCAACTCACCTGAACATCAGATCAACTGTCCTCTGGTATTCAATGTCTGAAAGAGGCTCTCGATGACAGCGACGGTCCCACTTGTGAATAAAGTTCTGAAGTGTAAAAAGAATAGGGGAAAAAAAAAAAATAAAGGCTACTTCTGGTCATATCAGAACAGAGGTTCTATTAGGTCAGTATGCTTGTGGGTAAGGCTTGGGACAGGGTGAAGTTTGACTTTAAATGCAGAGTGTCAGAGCAGTGATTTATTTGGGCATATTTTTTGGCTGCTTTAGTAGAGCGCCTCTTGTTCAAGAATGAGATCACTTTCTCTTCACACACTGGCAGAACAGCAGAGCAAAAACAGCCCTGCTGCCTTCTACTCTTAGCAAGAATTCCCTCCCCAGGAAAACTGTGTGAACTACCCACATGAGTTCACCTGCTTGGAATTTTTGCCTCTTATAAAAACCCAACCATACATAAACATACTCCTAAATCCAGACATCACAACTTAAACTCAGCTTCTGGTTTTGTCATGTTCCCTTATCCACTTTGAACTACTCTAACAAATCAACACCTAGGGAGTACACAGACAGCTGAGGCAAAGAAAGGGAGAAAACCAGTGACATCCTACTCTCCTGCTACAGAATGCTGCATCTTGGCTATTACAGCAAACTTAGGCCACAGCCTTGCAGAAGCAAGCAGGTAGAAGACTTCATGGGGTTAGCCTCCAGCTAGAACTGAAAGTCTTTTCTGAAACACTCATGGGCAAGACTAAGGCTCCACATGAGACTCGTACCTAAGTTACTGTCTAAATATTTGCCATTCTGCCTACAGTAGTAAATTTTATTTCTCGATGCAGATGAGCATCTTCAAAAGAAATGTGCATGGTCTTAAGGTGGTATGAAGTGCCCTCTACAGGTACTTTCCCAAAAAGTTGTCTGGGTTCTTTTCATTCTCCACACAAATCGGAACCTGTCTTTAGTATCTAATACCAAATAAACACATTTCCTTACCTCTAGAAGTAAAGCTACAAACAGATTAACCCAGATGACAGAAGAGATCAACCACCAGGCTACAAAATAGATTTTTGCCCACCTGAAATAAAGTAAAGTAGGCAGTAAAGAACCTCAGCTCGAAAACAACCAGAGCCATGAAAACACATTTTTCCTTGAAATATAATGTATAATGAATCTTAATGTATAAGGAGGTCTGGGACAGAAAAATAAAAAAGTCTTAACCTTTCATTCTGTTAGCCAAAGAGACTTGCTCCCCCCATTTAACATACCTAACTGAAGCCTGAAGGGACAGAAAAGCAGCTCTAGTAGAAACTGTACTGGATCACAGCAAAAGATCCATCTAGGCTAGTATCCTCTGAGAGTGGTCAAAGCAGAAGTGCAGGAAAGAGTGCAAAATCATGGCCAAATACCTAAGATGCTACCTCCTAAGCGCTCTCCCGCTCTCCAGCCATTTGCAGTTCAGAGATTTCTTGACCTAGAGGTAGCTTCCACTAACTGCAGATCCCAATGGATTTCTCTTTCACAACCTGTGCAGTCTTCACCAGACCATGTTTAACCATTTATCACACACAAGATGTAAATGAGCACTCCACAACTTCACTATATGCTGGGTTAACCAGCCAAGGACCACTGGAACAGCTTAACCCAGAGACTAGCCAGTCTTTTCAAACATTCCCATAAAATAAATACCAATGAAATACATGTCCAAGATTTTAACTCTACAAAAGATTGTTCACCCACAGGGAAAATACAGTATCAGCCCAAAATGAATTAGTGATTCGCTAATATCTCATTTCTATGAGATTGACTCTACAGAGAGCACCACCCATCCAACACGTTGCAAGTTTATAGCCCGCTTAAGTCATCCACTACTGTTTTTTTTTGGAACAAGATGACTCCCAATCAAGTTTCCAATCCCTTCTACACGTGACAAAGCATTTCATGGCATCCAACAAGTACCAGACCAACATCAAGTTACTCAAGTTAAAGAACAGCCATGAAGTATTAATTTCATTTCCTGTATACCTGAATTGACACAGAAGAAAGGTAAGCAGGACCCCTCTTCACAGATGTAGGAACTGTGCTATGTGTATAATACTTGTTCAGTTATTTTATAAGCTAGATTTATAGACTTCTTTAGTATCATTACTGCTACTTACGGACTTGAGTATCTTGAAAACGCTTCCAGAAAGACTTGCCAGTTGTTCACCACCATCACATCCCAAAGGGTCACCACTGCTGCCTAGATAGCACAAATAAAACAGGAGTTGAGTGGCTATATTACACACCTAAGGCTCAGAACATGAGGGGAAAGGATAAGCAGAGAAGGGAAAAGGGACAGACTCCATTGGTGATCAGACTCACAGCAAAGTCATCAAAGTTGTTTGGCCAATATTCCAGCTGTTCATAGGTCCCACACTGCAGAGTCCCATTATCATATGTTGTATTGATAGCACTGTAAGAGAATTACAGGATGATGTGAGCATAGCTTTCTATGTATTAGACCTTAAAACCAAGATTCTTCCGAGTGCCTTATATAAATTTAAGTATCTCATATGGGGGGAAAACAAGGGAAATAGTTCAAGTATTTAAGCTACAGAAGGGTAAAATTTCAAGATACAGATAAGCATTCTTGTAATTCCAATACAGCAAGAAGAAACAGAAGGAGTAACAGCTGAAAAGTCTATGTAATTCAACATTAAAAGAAGGGTGACTCCAAGCTAAAAAACAACAAAACCAACCAGAAGCAACTCAGAAATACCGAGCTGCAGATCTGCTGAAAAAAACAGATTCAGAGTGGTGATGTTACCTGATATTTCCAAAGGGAACAACAGCACCTTTAAATAGCATTATACCAGATATAGCAAACGCATAGAAAACCACCTGGAAGATATATAAGTAGGTATCAGATTTGAGTATTTCTGTCACTAAGCAACAATGCAATTAATATGGAATTCTCAATGTCTGTATTAAACTGTTTGTTCTTCTTTTTAATATCCTATTTAATTTTCAGTTGTTAAAACATATTAGATCAATTTACCATCTATTGTAATTTCCTGTGTCTCAGAATGATGTTATTTAGCTTTTAACACTGCAGAATAATGACTTAAAACCAGTACCTATATTCCTTAGGACTAATCTAAATATCTGAGGAGCTTCCTGCTAGATTCAGTGAAAATAAGCTTCAACTAAACTTAACCAAGAACAAAGCTAAGTATTTAAATTTACATCAGCAACTTCTTTAATACATTTCTGTATTTTGCTACAAAACAGACCCAAGGGGGAAGTCTGGGCACAGTAGAAGAGGAACAGCCCTGACTTATGAACCACAGCACTTTGAACACTATCGGAGTAAGTTGAAGCTGACATTCTACAGCCTGCCAGAAGATGGGGTATCTGGCTTGGCAGTAATAAAGGTAATTTTATTCTTTCAAAAAGATTATTTAACACACTCACTGCTTGAGAAACTAGGTAATCAGTGACTTCCTCAGCACATGTTTCAGGCTAACCTTATGAAAGATGCTTTGAGTCAGCAAGTAATGGAGTCAGACTTCAGTATAAGCTCAGTGACAGCTTCCACATAGCCTCAAGTAAAAGCAATTTTACTTTAAATTAATGGAAGTGGCAGATCTGCCTCGTGATTGGTGCAAAACTACAATTCACACTTCCAGCACTAAGGATAATTAGAAGCAGACATTTAAACCACTTCATAAGCATTGTGTCTTACATATATGGATAGGGACACCTCACTGAAACATGCTATTTCCTAAAAATAAAATCAAGCCTATTACTACAGGTTCATGCCATCTTTCTAGAATGCAATTTAAGGTCCCTGCCATCCAAAAAAAGCAGAGATTACTAGTGACAAAACTAGCTACTCTGGGTAAATTGCATGCTAAGTATATAGACTAGAACAACTTTTTAGACAATACTAATACAAGGCCAATCCTTGGCCTCTACCCATTACCTCAAATTAAGATATCCTAAAAAACCCTACAAGCAACAGAAAAACTACCCAGGCACTTATTTGCTCTACCAGGAAGACAACGTTGCAAAGCCAGAAACTCAAGAGTTGGGAAATGGAGGATTTCTGTAGTGGACATGTTGTGATGCACCCTTTAACCACACATACACATATTCTACACAGCTACACCAAAAACAGGATAGCAGAGGCTTTTAAAAATCATGTCCAAACATGCCATCTCAGGACCTTGTCAACTGAAAAGAATGTTAAAGCTGTTTTGCTACTTAATATAACATAATCAAGCCAGAGTAAGGAAAACTAGGCTACTTTTCGCACTGGATTAATTTTTATTTGAAACTAGAGTATCCAGCCTGAGGCAGGCACTCTGAGGAAGTTGCAATCTACTTTTTAAAGGCACTGCTAATGGAAACTCGTAACTGAGATACTGTCACTGTGCGCAGCCCATAACAAAACAGTAGTTTGTTGGGGCTTTGCAAGACATGCCCTGGAGAAGAACTGGTTGGTTAAGGTGCAATTATGACCATTCACGGTTATTGTCAAAGAACTTTAGTTTGCTTTGGTGATGACATACCCTTATTACACTGCTAACTATAAGAAAGGAAATTACAACCTCGCATCATGACTTACCACAAGAATTCCTGCAAAGGCTCTCAAGTTTTTTACCAGATCCAGCAACGTAGTAACAACCAAAGCCATGAACTAAAACAAAACAGAATTTTATATGCAAGACAGGGAAAACTGAGTTTGTGAAGTGCTGTGCAGTAGCCTGGAGCAGTAGTTAGAGCTGAGTTATAATCCCACTCAGGTGCAAGAGATTGTTACATTATTTCAAAAGGTTTTAACACATTTACAGTTTGACCCACAAAGAAGTGAGAAGTGCGGAGGGATAAACACACACCTTCATATTAGGAATAATCCGCAAAAACCTGAACACAATTAACATGTTCACCAATCGCACCATATCCCACAGGGACAGTAAGCCCATGAACTCGGGTCTCCTAGAAAAGACAGAATAACAAATCAGAGAAACAGCTCATGACAGAAAGACACAGTAAAATCTGCTCATGCAGGTAACTTTAAACTCCCCACAACTTTTGGTTAATTTACTCAGCAGCAATCTCAGCTACAGTAAACTCTAATAATTGATGAAGAGGTCCATTTAGCCTGGGCTCTTAAATATGCATACAGTGCTCTTTAAAGGGCATGTTTGTACTAAAATACTTGCATAAGTGGCCTTCCTTCTGCTGGGGGGGGTGCAGGGACCAAAGGGGGTCCTTTCAGAAAACAAAGCAATACAAAGATATTGCTATAGTGAGATACTGAGGAGCCTGCACAAAGATGTGCATTAATCCTTCAGGATATGCTTGGCTGAAGTTAGAAGTACTAATTAGAAGGCTGTCTTGACAGCCTTCTTCCCTATATTCACAGTCCACAGGTGATACACATACACTTCAAATGTCAACCTGAGTTTTAACAGACTTTTACATTGGCATGCTGGATGCTTCTTTGCTGGAAAGGTGGGGGGATGGAAGATGTTAATGGAAAAAGGTCCTTCATAACACAGATCCTAAATCATGATTTGTAGCATTAGTATCTTCAACTCTAATAATGGAAGAAATTATTTAAGACAACATTACATAGACCACATTCTAGAATACAGTCACATATTAGTCCTGTCCTGAAGATGTTAACCTACAGACCAAGCAATTACCACCAGCGTACACAAGTACTACTGGTGCTTCAAGATACTATTATAGAGCAAACAAGTGTCTACAACAGAATCAAAGGGCAAAAATCAAACCCAAATATAAACAACCAAAAGTTAGGTTAATAGTTAATGCCATTAGACTGTTAGCAGCTAATATCAAAGATTCAGGAAATCTTCCCGAAGCCCTTTGCTTTCCTCTTTCATTGTGGTGGCAGTTTTCAAGTTTTAAGAGACAAAACAATGATTTTTATGCTTGTGTTAACACAAACAATACAGGATAGGTATCCAAGAACTATCTGAACTTAAGAAAAAAATCAAAATATAACTCCTTGCTAATGTATTATAAATGGTTTAAGTCCATGGGAATTCTTCTTCTAAATTTTACAGCACGAAACTCAGACTTCAAGGGGTTTCACCAGCTGTTCAGGAAGTCGTAACTGATCTTATAGGCAATCCAATACTGAAACATACTAGGTTAGCTGGTTGTGTACGCTGTACTAAATTCTCACTCCTGCACCTTCAGTAAGCATAGATCTGCTAACACTTCATTTTACATCAGACTGCAAGTAATACAAACACATCCTTCTCAGAATAGCTAAAGAGAACTCTAAATTTCTTTTTTAAAAATTTATCATTTTCTTTGACTCATCCATATTGCATGGCCAGCAGCAACTAAACTAGTGAGAAATTCTCCTAGGTTTGGTAAATTAATGCCTGCACTGACAATCATAGTGTCATGACATGAGTGTGTTTGCACTTGTGTTTATATTCCCCTGACCCAACCCAAACAACACACAAAGTGCAACAGTTCAGAGATTACGTACCAACCAGGATGAGGAAATCCATATACAGCAAAAGTTGCAACCTCCAAAACCTTTATTTAGGGAAGAAAAAAAGGCAAAAACCTTAATTTGTAATTCTGAGTTTCAAAAGGTGCGTAAGTTACTTCACAAGAAATACCTTCAAGAGCTTTAAACAACTAAATTCACCCACTCTGAAGCACTGAAATTGTCATATTTGGCTAAGTATTTACCAAATTAATACAACACACACACACATCATCCAACAGTGACACATAAAAGGACATATAGTGCATCATTCACCATGACTTTAGCCATCCGCCATATGGGTTTCAGGTTTTTACAAAATAACAACAACAAGAAGATAAAGAAGAATTCAGGGGGTTTTAATTCAAAAAGTGATTTTTAGCCATGTAATTACTCCAAGAGCTGAATTTTTCCGAACAACATTTAAAAGGTTGGTTATAGGAAAGCTCACCTTTTCCATGAATGTAAGAAAAGCCTACCTTCAGAAAGGAGACCTTAAGAGAAACAAATGTTCAAGCCATTGCAAACCACAACACTGTCTTATGATGCTTAGCTGAGCATATTAGTGTTGAAGCAAAAGCAATCCCATAATTCCTGCAGTTCCTAATCATCCTAGTCAATAAATCCAGGAATACAGAAGTCAAAAAGAACTTACCAGCAAAATTACGGTCAGAAGTCCATCAAATCTATTGCTTGGGTAGGACAAGTATCTTTTTAAGCCCATTGCTAGGTTTTTTAGCAACATTTCCAGCAGATAGTACAGGATAAAGAAGCAGTTGATAGCCTTCACCCCCAAAAAATAAAAATAAAAATTAGAATTACTGACACCTCAGGGAACAGAACTAACTGTAGGAAGATGTTGTATCTTACCCCCAGGAAGAAGTCATCTCTTTTGGATGGCTGCTTATCTGCATCCATAACCAAAACCACCTAAACCAACAAGAAATATTCTATGAAACCACCGTTTTACTTCTGTAGATTTTTGAAAACAAAAACAGTTTTTCATGCCCTGCAGAAATCTTTTTAATATCTATTTTTTGTGTATTTTTTTTAACTGCAGGTATTCTCTTCTTAGACTTGGCATGACTAAAGCATGCCAACATGGACATTTGTAAAAGTGGTATTAGACTAAGGAACAACTGAATTTTGTAGCAGGGAAAAAAATAACAATCAAACAACCCCCCTCCCCCACATAGACACCCTTTTACTTACACAGATAGAAACTATGTTTGCAAGGGCTACAACATTCCCCAAATACCCAAAGTAGGGATGGCCAAAGGCAAACTGCATTTTCTGCATAAATTGTGATTGGTACTCCGGACTGGGAGGATGCTGGAAAAGAACACAAAGGATTTGCTAAGGCACAAAGCATAAGCATTTTAATGATATTAATAATAATGCAGGAAACACACATCTCCTCTGTAAGAAACAGACATTTTCAAAGCAAAACTTAACAGTCACAGGCTAATTTTGACATTTTAGTACAAAGATGTTTTCAAGCTGTGGCTATGAGCAGCAAGAGATCATTTCTGATTAGCAAACGGGTTGACTGTTATAGTATAATACAAGATAATGGCAAAGAAGGGAGATAATCCAACCTCTCTCCAATGCCCCAAGCATCTGAACTGAACACCAAGCTACTAATTGCAAAATTCCTACCCTATTTCTCAACATTTTATCTCCATTAAAAGATTCAGAAGTCTTAGTTACATACAAGCAGAGAAGAGAACATTTCCTAACCCTTGAAAAGTTTGATTATTTTTTTTCTTTCTTTCCCCAAGTGGAGAATGCATTCTGCGCATCTTCATCTGAACACTTAGAGAACTCGCATTTCATTTTTCAGTCAGGGACCGGAGGAAAGACTTTGCCCGAGTATATTTAAGTGTTATCCTGCAAAGACTAATATATAGCAGAGATGCATTGCTTTAATATAGGAGTGTCACAACAAGACAAATTCCTCACATTTCACCAAAACAAGTTTACTACAGAGGTATTAATTTCTCCACAATGCTTTTCGGAAAGTCTATGATATAAGGTCTAAATCCTATCCCTCATTTCCTTGCAATGAATCTTCCCAACATAAACCACCATGCTTTTTGTATATTTAACACTACCTGACAACCATAAGCCAATGCTAAAAGCCCCCAAAGCAATGCTGCTTGTGACTGTAACAACAATCCATGAGCAACTTCAAAAATCAGTAAGTTCAAAAAGTTGTGAAGTTTGCTTATATGCTTTATAGCAGAATACCATCACTTACGTTTGTGCAAGACCATACTCAACTTATGACACTTTGTAAATGATTGTCAGATACATACTTGCTTAATGGCATCTTTGTCTAGTTCTTCAAAGAGCTTCTGAAACTGGGCAGCTGACAGCTGGTCACAGGAGCATGTTTTGAGCGACTTCACGTGAAAGAGAAACATTCAAATCAACAACTGCAATAGATGCATCTTCAAAGAGTGCCAACACTCTCAGACTATCTTAGAAGTCCAGGAATAGAGATGTAATAAAACCTACACCAGGTATTAGAGTGAGCTTCTAGCAGCAGACTTCAAGTGAAATCACTGCCTGGACACTGGTTTTCTTCTGAGAGCAAACACTGAGATGGCCCTCTGCTCACACTTGAAGTAGCATTAATGAAACTGAGCTGAAAGCTCCTACATCAAACGGTGTGATTAAGGAAACTTCAGTTTCTACAGCTGTCTCATCACAGGGTTTGCTAGCCACCAATATAAAGGCTAAGAAAATACGGTTCTTACTCTCATGATGGCTTGCTTGCAGCGAGAATCCATTTCAACTTTCTGCAGCACTTGTAGTAAGGCCCCAGTGCCGACATGTAACCTATTGAAAATAAAATAGAGTGGCCCAAGGAACAGGTAACTGTCTTGATGGCAAAAACAGCTGTTCCAAATGCATTCCTGCTGCTTCTGGCGCTTTTTTGGGGTTTTGTTTTTTTTTTTGAAAAGCAGATAAAATTAGAAGTAAAAAGGAAACAGACCCCATAGGAGTCCCAAACAGTGTGTTATAAATACCCAGTTAAAGAAAAAAAATGAGAGATAAGCAAACTGACATTTTTCCAAGACAGGATTTTCAGTAATTATACTAAATAAGATGATAAAAAAAAAAAAATCTGCTCTTTTCTCTTAAGTAACCTACTGTTTCAACATTCTTCACTTACTGTTGTGCATTAGTAGGAGTCTCTCTGAGGGAAGAAAGCACTTCAAACGCAGCCCGGATTCCCAGTCGCCTCCTGAAGAGGGAGGACTGAACTGATTTCTGGACAGTCAAAACACCAGGGGAGACAACTTACTCACACTTGTTTAAAGGAAACCCAACTAGATGATATAAGTAAGACCAGTAAATTATTTGCCCGGCTCTTTGGCAGAACCTACTGCAAGCCTCAGAAAGAGCCATACGTGTTCAACTAGAGCAATTTTTCAGGTAGGAAAAATACTAGGGTTTTTTTACCTGCTGCTAAAGTCCCCATTATCGGCCACTAGATCTAGCTGTCTAAAGATGAGGACCAACCAGACAGACACTCCACAGTTTAAAAGGAATACCATGAAGAGTCATGGGCCGAAATCAGCAAAACCCACTCCTATACTTAAGAAGAACTTCAGGAAGATCAGGGCTACCCAGCTCCTCATGCAGTGCTATGTCTTATGGTCAGAAAATATACCGATCCTCTAGATTTACGATTAGAGATGGGAACAGGAGACTTCTCTAGGCCTCGCTGCCCTCAAGAACTCCTTGTATAAGAAGGAAGGAAGCAAGCAAACAAGTCTCTGGAGGTCAAGTAAACATCCAGGTCATGGTTTATTTTTAATTCTGGATTGACATGCCAGTTCTCCAACTCCAGCTTCTTGCCAAGCAAAAAGAAAGCCAGAGCCACAGCTTTTCATGCTGCTTTCCCTCCCCTCCCCCCCCCCCTTCAAACTTAACTGCCTTATTAAGAGTCAGATTCTTGCATACTCTCACATGGGAAAGCAAAAAACTGATACAGATTTTTCTTAGAAGAAACCAAGAAGGAAGAAAAGTTTACAGGAATTCCTCTTTGTATGTATTAAACACCCCTCTCTCACAAGAATTCCTTTTCTGTAATACTCCCTTAGGCTCACTATCCAACAAGCATTACATTCTGTCTGTAGCATTACCAAAGCAGCTATTATTTCACTTTTGCCCCCAATCCCTCAACTCCACTCCTCTGAAGGACTGAATGAACTATAAGAGTATTTATGTAAGAAGAAGGAACTATAAGACTATATATAAGTAGAAGGGAAAAGAAGTAATGAAGGAACTATAAAACCATATGTAAACAAAGGCAGATGATACCCAAAGTCAAAGCTACCAGTTTCCCCTGACACTAAACCTGAAGGAAACTATAAAACGTAAGAAAAGACCAGTTGGAACATACACAACCAGGAACCACTGCTCATTCCAAGCTACAGAGACCCATCCCTATACTGGCACAAAAGGAAAAAATCTTAACCTACAGCCCAGAGGTTTAGCTGTCAGCCTCCAATGTTTTCGCACAGCATTACCCTGACTCAGCTTTACCAAAAACATTGCTGCTGAGCTGTGAAGTTCTCTAAAATATGCAAGAAGAAAGTAAAAAACAGAGATGGAATTGAAACTGCTGAAGAACTCGGGGGGGGGGGGGGGGGAATCACCATGGAAGTTACAAAGCTTAAAGAAAACTCTCAAAACACTTTGAAGATAACACCACAGAGAGATTTGGCCTGTTCCGAGCAGCAAGAGACCAACAGCTCCTCTTTTGACTGATGACTGCCTGACCAAAGATACAGCTGTGTGCCATGAGTGTGATGAACGTTAATACTTAGCCTAGCACTGTGTTCTTTCTACTAATCCACCATGTATGTTAACTGCTAAGTAGCTGGTATGTGCCTTGGATGTTCTGTATTCATTGCTGGAAATAAACCCAGTTCTGGAGATCTCCGGATGGATCCATGCAGCCAGTCAGTTACTTCTTTTTGGAATAACAATAGGAAAGTCACAAATTTAACCTCCTGCATGAAGTACATTTTACTGGAAGTAACTGAAATGATTTTTCATTTGACTTACTTTGTCCCTGCTTTCCAAAATATTCTTACCTCAGCTCATTAAAATTCCTCCCAGATTGTTTAACTGCACTATCTTGTATAGAAACAAAAGCAATTACACTGTTTCCTGCTAAGGGAATCCAGACTGCACTCCCAGCTGGAAAATAGACAAACTCATGTACATAATGCAACAAAGCACACTGCACAGCTTGTTAGTAAAGGAAAAAGAACTTTTAGTGATGATTTTAATTGTCACTACAGATTGCACACTCCTTGAACAACATGCAGAAGTACACTTACTTTGTCAGCTTCTACTTCTCTAATATAAATACCTGAGTCAAGAGGTCATTACACTGTACTTCAGAATCACAGTGCACAAAACGGGGGAGAATCATGAATGACCAGGCACCTTTCAGAATCACATTAAAGTATTACACGAATAACTGGCATTGCATGGACAGTAAGCACAGGTTCCTTTTATTTAACACTGAATACTACCAAGAATATCTACTATGCCTACTGGCAACTGCTCTAGTACAAGTCAACCACAAGGCTCAACTCAAGTCCATCTTTCAGTAGCAGTAGACTGCCTTAATCATTCTAACGTCACATCCACCCACCATAGTAAGGATGAAGTGAAAAATACCAAACACAAATACGTTTTAGTCAGCAATTCCGTTCTACTGAAGGTTTCTAATGCTGTGCTACTCAGAGAAAATAACTGCCAGGGTTTGCAACAATAGCTATTTAAATAGTACAGCAGGTTTTCTTCCCAGAGGCCAAGTCTAAGTTCCTTGTTCACTTGTCCAATTTTATAATAGTTTGGGGTATTTCCCCTCTATAATATTCAAAGTATATGGACGTATACAAGCAGGTAATTTTGTCACGGAAGGGGTATCAAGCTACAGCAGCATATAAGGGAAAAAGTATCTACATCAAAGAATATTTAGTATCTTAAAACTGTATCTACAACCAGGGTGGGCATACTGCTTTAAAACACAGTTGAAACTTTTAATACTCAGGGCTTCACAGTTTAAAGGTTATGGTAGAACAGAAATTAGGAATGCTTTACTCACCAAAAGGTAACCTCGAAACTGGTTGTATATTATTGCTGTAAGCAAGTTCATTAAAAATAAGTTGCCTATTGGAGAAAAAGAGGCAATAATTATAAAAATAAACTGAAACTTCTTTGACAGATATGTACATAGTAAGTCAGATGTAAAACTTAAAAAGGATTAGTCTTCTTGTTTGGTTTCCAAAATTTTTTTCATATCTGAATATGCTGTAATGTATCCATTCCCCTATCACCTGTTGCTGACAAAAACCCAAACCAAAGTACCTTCCATGAAAGTTATCTCACAAGCCACTACGCAGTAACTGGAGACACTACACACATACATACACACACACACACAAACAAAAAAAAAAAGGGGGGGGGAGGGAATTTTACAATTAAACTTTCCTAGAAAACACTGTAGCTGGCATGCACAAGTGTCAAAATTAAAGTGCATTTAAATGACTGAGGGCAGGAGGCAGCTTACCTAATACAGTGAAAAGTATGAAGAAGATTGAATATGCTCGATTCTTAGCATATGCAGGAATCATCACTGTAGAATTAACAAAAAATATTTAATGCTTAAGATAAAAACTAGATATCTCTATCAATTTTTGGCAATTGGTAGAAGCTCTTATATAGCTCCACTTTAGAGATGCACATAAAATTACACCAAAGGAAAGGTAAGAAACAAGTTACCAAAGGCATGAAAAATGTCTACATAGCCTTCCTCTAGCTGTGCTAAGAACTATCAGCTGAAAGAATAGTTATAGTAGTCTGAAGATAACCTTACTCTATTATTCTTTGAAAAGAGATACAAAAGTTACTTCTGAGAGACTGCTCACCATCAGGATTATTTGCAGTAGTCAGCAGGACCAGCAGGGATGTCAGTGAATCTGGCAAATTCCGGAAATACCCCACCCACTCCTTATCCTGCTGGCCATCCTAGTCAAAGAGATCAAGAAACACTAAAGAATCACTCAGATTGTTTTACCAAAGAGGGGAAAAAGAAATTTTAAATATATCGATCAATCAATGTCTTCAGAAACACAATCACATCTGCCCCATGAAAAAAACATGAGAAAAGCATAAAAATTAGGATAATGTGTAGGAATACAGTGCAATCACTTCATTTATTAACAGTCATTAAAGAACCCAAGGAAGAACAGCAAGCTAAGACAGACACAAGAAGCTCATTATAGAAATTATGTCTAGTTAGCACCTCAGACACAGGAAGGACAGTAATGTCACAAACAATATAGAAATCTGAAGCCACCCCTGATATAAAAAGCATCACCTCTTAGCCCGCAAGAGATATTAGTGTATTGGAGATACAAGGACTCCCTAAACAATCACATAGTAATTCAGTCTCAACTTACATTATAAAACTAGCATAGAGTAGTCAACCCTGAAATGTACACTCCAGGACTACACTCCAGGATTTGTCCAGAAGTATAATACAGTTTGAGGACAATATTAAAATAGATTTTGTCTATACTGAAGAACAGAAACAAAACAGCTTCCTCAGTAATGAAGAGCTGCCTCAACAACTACCATGCTACAAAGGAATCTTCCCTTTACATTAGAAGCAACTCTCAAACACCTGCAGCCCTACTAGCACACTCACTGAGGAAGAACTGTGTCTCTCACTTCACCTTTGACTTCCAAATAGGAAGCTTAACATCCTCTGCATTAGTTACTTGCACAAATGTTACTACCACTACTCCGAACAAAGGTTTTTCCCTTTCTTCAGTTATGCCCTTACATACTCAGGGGGTTTTGTTTAATTAAAGTAAGATCTACACAGAACACAGCCAGAAAAGTTTTAGGACTCTCTTCAATAACATACTTGAAGGTGTACTTAAAAGAAGAAGTGCAAGGATAGTCCTCATCTTATCTTAGATGAAATAAATATTTACACAAGTTAAGATTACACAATATAAAGCAATATGTTATAACTAGAATTAGAGCACATTTCAGGAGCTGTTGGGCAGCTAGAAAACAGGGAACTGTTCTGTTTTCAAGAGAATAAAGATTCAAAATGCTATGTACACTATCAATAAAAACATCACATAGCACTTAAACTCCTTCATGGAGGAGGGGAGAAGCACTGCTATAGCACCCAAAAATTATTTCCAAGTACTTTGGTGACTAAGGTCATCAAACTTATTCTGTGGCTCAGTGGTAGCAACAGCTGATATGCTGAAGCTCGTATTTCATCATAATTTTCATCAAAAACCCACTGGGAGGCTGATCTTGGATCATTCACATATTTATCACACCCCCACCCCCCCCCCCAAGTTCAAGCAGAGACAGCTAAAAAAAGATGCAAACAATACAAACATTAATCATGCAGCACAGAACAAACAGCCTTTGAATCTGCTGCAATGACAAAAAATGTACCTCTAGAGGACATACACAAGACAATGCAAAATCTATACGCATGAATTTTACTACTAAATTTTCAGAACTTGCTTCCAGTGTTTTGCCTTGTTAGGTACTATTAGTTTGTAATGGTATTAGACTAGCAATTCAAAAAAGTAAAGAGACTGCCCTCTAATTTGTTATTGTTCACCCAGATGTACACAAAATTGACTGGTTCAGGTGTACAAGTCATATTCTCATCTGCTGTGAATGCTCATAACTGGTATTAGATGTGACATACAAAGATCAAACAAAGATCCAGTTTGCAGCTAAACAAAGGGGGGAAAACAGAACTGTGCTTTAAAATCAGAACAACTTTAACATGGAAATTCAAGGAATTTGCCTGTCACAAAGGAAACTAGAGGCAGGCTCAAGTGCAAACTGCAGTAAGAATGAAGGTGCAAAACTGAGGTTAAGGAGAGGACTAATATTATTGAAAGAAGTGTGTGACTAATCTTTGTGCTCAGAGGAACAAAAAGCAAGGACAAAAAGTAAGGACAAAAAGAGATCTGCATGATATATTAACACACAGGAAGATTAGGAGAGAGGCAACATACCAGAAACACTGGGACACGAAAGTGATTTTAACCACAAAATTTCAAATTTGCTTTCTGGAAGCAGAAAGAGGGGGAAAAAATAAACAAAAAACACAGAGGAAAACACAGAGATCAGAAAGCCTATCAAGGCATGGCCAGGGATAGCAGTATTGGATGATAAAAGAAAACACAGAAGAAACTAAGCTTAGCAAAAAGCTAGATAAATGAGTGATAATATAAACAAAAAAGTGACAAGATGAAGAGCTTTGGATACAGAACAGCATAGAAGTTTTCAACAAAAGCAGAGAAAGTAACCCAAAGGATTAAAATGGAGAATTGTACAAGGAAGCCTCTTGTATAAACAGACTTTCAACTTCTTACCCATGATACTGGCATCAATACCAGTAAAATGCAGGACCATAAAGACGTGAACCACGCTTTAGCACTGAACCATCTGATTTCACCCTGAGCAGCAGAGGTAGACTAATAAAATAATATGCAACAACCTACAGCAAGAGTGAAAGATTTCACCTATGGAGTAGGAAGGAGCATTATCACTTCAGAAGTAAAGCACAACATGAAAAATAAATTCTTCACTAAAAGACAGAGATTCTAACACTATTTTGAGGGGCCTTCTAATGCACACTTACAGAAACAACACTCTACGTGAACACTATGCACACCTTAAATCCCTCCAAACGGACTTTAAACTCATCTAAGTTTGACAAGTAACATGACCTTTTCAGGGGAAACAGATTTCACTAGTTTGATTATAAAACTAGACATGCAGCAGCTAAGTGAGTAAAGAACAAAAAAACAACTGAGATGTATTAAAGCATAAATATCATTGGTTACCTTTGTTCGAGCAAACAGCAGCATGGCAAACATGGCAAAGAGAGATAGATGAACAGCTAAAAGAAGAACAACACTGTTGGAAAGAAAACATACCATATGCATTAATGCCAACTTGATCTTATGCTTAATACCTTTGCTAAAAGTGCAAAAGGATGCTGTACAGAGAAAACCAGGGGTAGTTTCAGGAAGCTATATGGAGATAACAGAAGATGACCTGAGTTTTGATTCAAAGAAAGAATCATACTTGCTCAGGACTCCTCAGCATGAGCTGAGACAGTTGTGAGGTCAATGAGATTTGTTTCTCAAGATCAGGACTACACTTACACACCCCAACCAAAATACAACCTGGCTTGCATACACCTTTTATTCTCCTGGGACTTGTTAGTTAAAAAGTAATAGGCATGGACAGCAAGTCTTGTAAGATGTACACATACATGACCCATGTCACAGGAAGAGATCTCTTTCAAAAAGCATCATGCTGTCTTGGTTAAGAACGCATCTGTTGCTAAAACCATTTAGAAACTAAAAAGATGAAGTAAAGCACTTTAAAAATGTAAAGAAAGAGATCTTCTTGTCTGGCACTCATGACTGGAAGACATGTCTGTCTACCAATACCTCCAAGAGGCCTTCTTAGAAAAACAGAGCATAGACCTTTGCCCAGATGATGCCACAGTTCTCACCTTACAAAAGGGCTGCATGTAACATATACAGATTTAAAAAAAAACACTCACTTAGCACCAAAAATCTTATCCGTCACATACAGACTCACATCACATGCATTCCAGAGAAATTTTACATATTAAAGGAATCAAAAAGTTAACACAACCTCCATCCACTGCTACTTCTCTCACCAGCCACTTAGCTGGGCAGTCAAGAAGGAAGCTACCCACATGTCACACACCAGAATTCTGAGGGTTACTATATGCTTGCTGTGAAAGAAGGTCTTCTACACTGTTACCTACCTCCCCATTTCAGGCAATGTGCTGTTGATACTTTTTAATGTTTTCTTCATCATAGAAGAATTCTGAAGCAGAAAGAAAGGCCGAAGAATTCTTCTTATTCTCACACTCTGCAAAAGCCAGGAGATCAGATACTCAGTTCCCATTAAGACTAGCACCACAAATCTTTTTAATATAAATCTGTTGAAAACCACTAATACACATATCAACAAAATCAGCAGTTTAACATAAAAAGGCTGTGCTCATAAGCTCAAACTGTCACACTGTGATCACAAAACTCACAAGATTTTCTGTCTATGGGTGCCTCATTAAAAGAGTAAGAGACTGCTTTTAAAAAAGCACAGTGACATTTCACTAGCCTTATCAGGCCACTGATTATAAACTAACTTTACTGCTCAGTAGACATAAGCAGCTCAAGAGAGGACATTTTCAGATCTTCTGCCAAGGCCCACTTCAAGAAGGGAATAGCAAGCTCCTTTCAATAAAAACAGATTCCCATTCTGAAAATAAGTGCTTGAAAACAATTTTTAGACGCTTTTTTTTTTTTTACGACTTTTTATAATTAAAGGGCCTGCTTATTACTCAGCAATTTCTCTCTCCAGCAAGACTCAAACAGGTGATTGCCTTTCTCTTCCTTAACATGCACTAAAGCAATTAAGCTGTTTGATTCTTGCATTCAAGACACTTGCCAGCCTTCAAGATATTTCTGTAACTTATCTGCTACTTCAAGTATTTCAGCATCCTGCATTCAGCATCAGCTTTCTCAGTAACAGCAAAGAAAAAGAGTCACTTTCTTTTTTGGTATTTCCTTGTTTGTGCATTGCAGCAGTGAAACTGCTCCTTCTGCCACTGCTTTGGATGGAAGGTTCCTGATCAAACAACTTGTTCACTACAACACCTAAAGATTTTACAATCATTTCTTTCCAAATCACTTTCTCCATGTTGTAATTAACCTCTTTCAGCTGCATTATATTTATTTGGCTTGAATATGAAAAAGACATATGCATTTTTCTTATAGTTAGATGCTTATAAGCTTAACTGACATATTCTTTCAGCATTTTAAGATCATCTCTGAAACTACATCACAACCTTGTCAGCAGTGTCCAGTGGTCAACTATGGCCATTGAAGTATGCACAATTACATACTGAGTTACTAATAGTAGCAACTTCATCCAACCTAACCCTGGCTAATACAATTATTTGAAATAGGTTTGAAAGTTGCCTGAAGGCAACAAATAATGGCTTTGACAAAAGAACTTAGTCAAGCAGCAAAAATTAGGATTCCTGCCTCACTTCCCAGCATTTTTACCATATTAGTATTTTCTTCATTATGACTGTAAGTGAACAACTAATTTTATGCAGATTTATGTCATAGCAAAGACCACCAACTGGGAGATTGCATTATTCCATAAAAGTGGGCACTTGAAGAACAGCTTCACAAAACTGACATTCCTCTCAGGACACAAATGTTTCGAACACAACACAAGCTCATCTTAGGAAACAGTTGTTAAACTGTACAATTACCTTTTACTTATATATGTCACTACATAGACTCTGCCATTGAATCAATGCCCTCCTCCTTTAACTCTCCAATAAACCACCACCAGTTTGCAGGTTGCTCTCCTCTGCCATTCCCCACAATGAAGCTGCTGCTTGTTTCTGCAGAAAGCAGTTCTTACCTCTGTGCAAAAAAAACTCAGCGAAACTATCCAGTCAGCAAGGGAAATAATTAATGTCAGTATATACGCCATTAGCCATTTATTTTTCCAAAATTCTGCCCATCCAATTAAGTAACTCTGGGAAGGGAAAAAAAACAAAAAAGCCAACTTACTTTAATAATAAATTCCAATACACTAAAAAATAAGCACCAATTGTTTTTCAAGTATTTGTAGTTTTACATTAATGCTCATAAAGAAGTCCCCAAAATGAAAACCAAAATACACTGATCAGAGATATTTTATACAAGAACTAAATAAAGGTCAGTAGAAGTGAGAAGTGTACACTGGCCATGCAAGAGGAATCCCCTGAATGTAAGAAAAATGTCAATTTCATAAGCATAGATTTTCCAGAAATAAGTATCCAAATAAAGGTTCTGTTTCTGACTTTTCATTAAGTTTAAATGAGCTAGCATATATTTGACTACTATATACACCAATTTTTATAACCTTATAAAAGCAGCTAAGCCAAAATCACTATTATTAGCAAAATTTCACTTTTTCCACACAGAGGTTTATATTTCTTAGATTTAAAAAAAAACAATTTTTTAAATTTAGAAAATATGTATTTTATAATTTCTGCTGAAAGTAAGGCTTTAATAAAGCAAAGCAACCTCATCATGCAAATCCAAGATTAGGATAACACTTCTAAGGTATTTCCTGAAATATAAAATGGAGAAAAGCCACACTGCCTACACCTACTGATCTGCCCAGTATGTCTGGCATTTCATTCAACACCGCATGAATGTGATGCTCACCTTCACAGATACATCAACTGTGAATACAAGAAAGCAAAGGAGCTCAATGCTTTCCGTTACGCCACATGGAGGATTCCACGCAGGAAGGCGGTATCGTACATCCGATGTGACCGTAAGCGAAGAAGGGTTTTCAATGAAAGCCAAAGCCAGGATTATAGTGATGGTTAAACTCAAAATCCTATTTGGATAGAGATGAAACACAACCCCCCAGAATGAGTCAAAACAAAAACAAAATACTTACAGTAAAGCAATTTTCTTAGAAGTAAACCAAGCTTTATAATATCACATTTAACACAAATGGGTTTGGCAACAATGCCTCACTTGCTTAGAATAATATAACTGCTGACCACCAAACAGAAAAAGATACTTGGAAAACTCTAACACACAGTGCTGTAAATCATGCCAACAGTCCATTCACGCACCAGCCCTGTTTGAAAGGGCCATCTACATGATTACACTTTAATATAATTTGTTGCTTTCCACTTCTATCATGTTCACATATAATCAATCCACTTGATTCCTATTGCAAGTTCTTAGAAGGATAAAAGCACAGTTATCTAATTATTTATCAACAATGAAAGATGAAGAATATTTTTTTATTAAGACTTACTCCTAAACAAAAAAGCAAAAAAAAATACCAGGGTCTTACCACTGGCAAGTTCTTGAATAATACCATCGATAAAGCCACAGGGATTTGGAGTCCACACGGTGATTTATAGATCGATACTGAAAGCAAAGCAAAAGGGATAATTCAGACATTATATTCAGTCAGAACCAAACACAAAGATAAGGTTACCAAAATAAACCAAATTCTAATCAACAAATATCAAGTCTTGAGATAATTCCCGTTTCACAATAAGATAAAGAAATTATTGCATAAGTTATTAAAGTATCAGTCACCAACTACAATAGCTGTACTCTACATGCATGGACTGAGATAATATTCTGTGCTCAGATAATCAAACTGTGTGACAGTCATCTGAAAGAGCCGTTACCATCAGTACAAATAATAGCATCTATAATAATTCAGTGCCTAGTCTAGATACTCACCAAAACAGTCCACCTATTATAGCATTCATTCCATTCGTGGATCTTTTTTCCTTTGTCTTTCTTTTCCAAAAAGCCATAGGATGCAAAATAATTCTGAATATTATAGACCTCAATCAATATCTTTCAATAAAATGTGCTTTAAATTCAAGAAAGTACCTGTGATTCTTTAGAATGGGCCCCTCCTCTGTGACTGCTCCTTGACCACTGTTACCCTGCCTTTGCTAATAAATACCCACTTACAGAAAGGGGTCATGCACTTTAAATGTATCTGATCCACAGAAATCTCCCAACCAAAAGTAGCAAGAGAATTCAAGAACTGCACTCCAGCATTCCCATTGCCTGCAACTAGTAACTGGGAGATAACAGCATCTAGTAATCTGCAGTAAACGCCAGTAAAGGAGAGACAGAGAGAGAACACAGACTTCCAGAGACACTAAGTTTAGCTGAAGCAAAAGAGTTCCAGCTTAGTGGCTGAAGCTAGCCTTAAACTCAATCACCTCTTAGCAAGTAATCAGATTTAGAAGCAAATTCCAGAGTTTGCTCAGCTTGTTCTAGCAGTAAGGCCAGTCACTCTCAAAAAAACTAAAAAAAAAAAAAAAAAACAAAAAAAAAAAACCAAACAAACAAAAAAACAACTACCCAAACAAACACTAAACAACCAAAACAAAAAACCACCCCATAAAACATTATCTCTTTTAGACAACCTTAAAGAGAAGACACTATCTGTTTTACTATGTGGACAAACATGTTTCTCTCAGGCAAAAGGTCACTGAAATTTGCATACCACAGGAATCCTGAATTCTGATTCTGCTTTGTACATCAAGAGGACGTGAAATGTTGGTTGCCTGAAAAGACAGACTCAAAAACTAGCAGAATGTTTGACAAGTATCTAGCATGGGAAATAGCCAGGAAACAAGTTATATTTACCTGTATTGCATCTTCAATGAATACTACAGCTTGGTTTATATAAAGGTCATTAACACTAGTACCTGCAAAGTTAAAAAGAAGAATCATTTGGGAGTTTGGATAAAGCCTACAGCTTGCTTATTAGTTAATATAAGCTCACAACCATGGCTCTCATGACAAATGACACTGTGCAAAAAGCAGAGACACAGCTCCTGCCACTGTGCTCCAACAGTAGCACCCTTCATTAATTAAAATAATCATCATCATGCATGTTTCCGTATTTTGTGAAAAGGTTCTCTCTTACGTTTAGCTTAACTAACTTAGGCAACTAGATTACATGAGTAGTTAAATAGCTGTCAAAAGACTGGAATATTTCTATACAGAGACAAGTCCTAAGTAACAGGCATTATAATAGAGCTTCAACCAAAATATTCCTTAACAAAGCATACAGCAAACTGAAGCTGGAACAATCAAGACAATAGTATTCTAGGAATTTTTACTTCTGCTTAATAAAGGTACTGAGGTTTACACTGATCTCATTCTCTCCAAAACCAATGCAAATCTCCAGTCACTTGAGAATAAAATTAAATCCTCTTTCAATTTGTCCTGAGAATTATTATTAATGTATCAAACAGATCAAGACAACGTAAAGGAGTGAAAGTATACAAAGTGAAATAAAATTATCACCAAGTTAGTTACTATGCAATGTTTCAAAGGCCATTACTAGGAAGTCTGTATGAAGAATAAAGGACAATCATTTGAATTCACTTGAAGGACCTTTGAGTAACTAATCTTTTAACGAAACCAACAAGAGAGACAAAGACAACTAAGCCCCAAACGTGAAGGAAAAAGAAAAAAAAACGGTGAAGGAGTGGGAAGAGAGAAAACTGACGGAGATAGAGATATGAAAACAGGTGCTACTGTAACCTTCCCACAGAGGGGAAGAGTCCCGAAGAACACTTTATACCATCTTCTCCCAGGAGACAGCAATCACAGACGGGATACAATGAGGCAGAATCAGTCCCACTGCCAGCACAACGCGCTCCAGACACCAAGCAACACCAGAAATACCACTTATCTTGCATCCCATATGATTTTATCTTCCACATGATTCAGCAGCATCAGTTTTCCACAAAGACTGCAAACAGTTTTTAAATGTCACCATTTATCAGAGCATGAGCAACAACACAGTTTTGTACCAATTCTGATATGAATCACAGTGCAAGAAAGACTGAGCATAAACAGGAGACACGCTAGGCTCATGCAGTGAAGATCCTATCTTTTCTGAATCATGACACACAAGCGAGATGAAAAACAAAGTTGTTTAAATGAAGAGTAGCAGTTAAAGGAATAGCAGGAACAGCAAAAAGTTTAGGTTCTGGGAGCACACAGAAAGCCTGGCATTGATCCCAACAATTCTGAAAGGGCAGAATCTAAGCAGCTGTTCTTAACACAAAACAGGGAAATTATCAAGAAATGTTGACTTGAAAAATTTCATTAAAAAGTAAAGACCAACCAATCAACCAAAAAAAAAAAAAAAAAAATCCCACACATTCTCCAGGAATGCTATCAAGAACATCCAATTTATCTTGCAACTCTTAGTCACAGCAAGTGACACTTAGTCACAGTGATGAATGAAATACTGCTCAGCTTGGGTGTGCAGGATCTACCAGAGACTCCACACCAGTTTTGACACCAAACACGCAGGCAACAAAAAGAGAAGGTTCACTTCAGTGACGCGATACCCTGAAAACAGAGAAGCCGAGGTGTCGAACGATCCTTTCCTGAACTGAGAAATGAAACCTCTAACATTTACGAAGATAGAGAAAAAACTTGTCAGAAACTTTAAACAAACAACAAAAGAACACCAAACCTTCTGAAATGAAAAATAAATAAGAACAATAATCAGCGTGAGGCCAAATCGGCACAAGGTTTGCACCCGAGGTCAGCCAGCCGGGGCTGCCTGGCCGGTCCCTCAACACAGTCCCAGACAAAACCGCAGGGAGCCCCACGCCGAGACCCGACACCCCGCGGGGTTCCCCTTCGGCGCCCGCCCCGTTTCCCGCGGAGGGCAAGCTCCGAAGGAAGGGCAATAGCAGCGGCGCCGCCCGCCTCAGGCGCCGGCTCCCTCAGCACCTTCCACCCAGCTCGCGCGCCCCGCGGCACTCACCGTCCTCGGCGGCAGCGGCGGCACCGGCCCGCCAGAGCCCCTGGCCCACTCGCCAGCTCCGTGGCGGCAACAGCGGCTCCGCCTCAGTGCCGGCCTCCATCACCAAACACCGCGCTACGCCCGCGCCACCGCCGGGATGTGAGAGCACCGCCCGCCGCACGTGACCGGCTGCCGGGAGAGGGAGGGAACGGGGCTCCTCCCGCCCAGCGAGCAGGCCCACTCTGTTCGGCGCCGGGCGGGGAGGGTACCAAGTCTGTGGTACAAAGTGCGTTTTCTTCACCTGAACTGAGGAGAGGAGACGCCGGGCGTCGTTTACCGTGTGAAATAAACATCGCTCGTGAGGAACTGGAGATTTTACCTCACGGCAGCTGTAAATCAGTGTCCTCGGCTGAGCGCTGCCTCAGGGGGAGCTGCGGGACAGCCTGCCGCCGCTCAGGAAACAGAGGAAATAATAGCTGCGTCCTGCCCGTAGGCACATTCCTCATCGTTTACCTTCCTGGCCGCAGAAAGCATTTAATTTGTGTTTAATTACTTAGCCCAGAAGCAACTATATATTTAGCTCATGCTGGTTTGACTGTTAAAAGATGGTTCACTTTTGCTGCTCCCCCCCTTTCCTCACGGTCCCCTTCATATACAATATACAATAAAGCTGCGATTTCAAAGGAAGATGATTTTACAACTACACACTTTTCTGTCACATGGTGGGAGCTGTGGCAGCATAATGATGAACAGGAAAGTTTATCCATCCCTCACTCTAGTGTTCCAACCCAAGCACCAAAAATAGGTGCATCCTCTAGTTAGCGGTGGGGTAGTTCTTACCTTCAGTTAGTTACACAGCCAATGAGTCAAACACCAGTTTTACACGGACATCTAAATAATTCACCCTTTTTAAGAAGCTTAAGCTAAAAGGAAACCTCCATAACATGACCTTTATCATAATAGCCATCACTACTGAACAGTGAATGTCAGCAGCTACGTGTTACATTTATTTCCTGTTCTCAGCGCAGATAAAATAGTTAAGTGTTGATAACGGCTGAACTAGGGGCTATACACTACAGTGAAAAATTCAGAACAGTAAAAGGAAAGTAAGGGTGGGCTTGTACAATCTGTATTCAGCACTAGCAGGTAATAAATAATATGGAATTTGCATACATGGTATAAGTGCCATTGCAAAGAAGCACAACTGTTTAATCACTGAATGTCTGAAATATTCAGGATAACAAAAGTAACAGGGAACACATGTAAACACTGGGGTTTTTTTGCTTTTTTTTTATTTAAATGAAAGAAAATGTTTCCTTTTTTCCTCTTCTGTGATTGTCAGGAAACAGAATCAGTAACTTCAGGGACTTAAAAAAAAAAAAAGGAAGAAGCCTTCAAATGTACAGTGAACTTCTGTTCAAAATTCATCCACTTCCCTCTGTCAGGAACAGGAAGCAGAAGTGCTCAAATGATGGTGAAGGAAGATGAATCGCAAACATCTTAGTACCAGCAACAACCACTAAGGTCTAAATGCATACCATATAACAAACCCACCAAGAACAGTGCAGCACCTTTAACTGCAACTGAATTAACTCTGGCTTTCTGGATTGTGGAAAACAAATGTGGAGAACATGCCCTTTTAGCAGGCATTTTTCATTAACACAATATATGACCAGTTTTAAGAGTCTCACTTGGCCTAAGCTCTCCTGCTGTCGCAGTCACAGCATTGTTTGCTCAGAACCTCAGAAATGCACTTCTAGTTTTCCCTATTAAAAGCACAACTTTCAACTCTTTTTTTTTTTTTTTTTTTAAAGCAGAAGAACTGGCCAAACATTAAATGAATGAGCAGAAGAGAGACTCATGAGAAGGAACAAGCCTATCCTTGTACCTTTTTATTATTCCATAGCATGGGACACCGTTAAAAGACTGATGAAGCTGTGAAGTTAAAATAAGTTTTTGCAAACAGCAGATGGAAGGTGCTGAAAGGAAGCTGGCTTTATACTTCATTCTGCAGTACTAACTCCATTTCCAGAGGCTTGATTCAAACAGTAAAGGGATTATGTGGACAACTCCAACCACTCACTGCTGGCATGGTCACTGATAACAGATCACACCTCCTGGACAAACAGCACCAGAGCAGATAGGAACAGCAACAGTGGCGTGGATACCAACCTTGTGTCCTCTCTATTCAAGATATATTGCACCAGAAGATATTTCAGGTACATCAACTACATTTACACATCAAAAATGCCAGGAGGGAAATCACACCAAGCCAACTTTATTCAAATTCCTTAAAATACAACTGAGGATCTTGGTGAGCAGTAACAATGAAGCAATTCGCTAACCATCCTGATGAAGTAGGTATTGCTCCTTTCTGAGAAAATTAAGTCAAAGATTTTAAAGTTTTTTTGTCACAGGTTACACAGCAAGTACATGCAAAACAAGAAGCTGAACTCTAATTTGGATCCCAGTAACAATGGGATTACCCATCTGCTTCAAGTTAGACTTACTTCCTTGCCAAATTACACCTTATGTGGCTACTGAAAACACTCAACCAGACTGCATGGCCCATGCTAGCTAAATAAAAAATACATAAAGTAAGAACTGAGCCAATTAGCATTACAAAATTACAAGTTTATTGCAAAGTAAAATGAGTTTTTCCCCTCTACAGCATATGCCAGAGCTGTTAAAATTTTATACTTTCAGCTAAATGTTTTCAAAAATCATATCCCAAGTTGTCAGAACCAAGCTTACTACTTGTGTATGTATTCACTTTCACGGAACAGTAAGTACCCTGCATTTATTTATGGTTGATACCCAAATATTTTTAATTAAAGGCTATTAACTCAAGAAGTTGAAGAAAATCCTTAATAAATGATTCCTTAGCCAAACTACAGTGTAAGTATATTGGGAATAAAATGGGAAGTCAATCAAAACAAAACAAAAAAAATTACAAATACCATTTACTATGGTCATGTCAACAACTGTTTGGGTCATCTCTGCCCATCATCACAATATTAGTCCTGTTTTGAACATTCTGCTATTCTGCTTAGCAAGTTAATTACCACAGTTAAACAAGACAGCAAATCAGTCCGTATCTTCAACTAGAGAAATTTCTTCCTTTTTTTCTAGCTTGGATACCTGCAAGTTAAAAGGAAATTGATTCAATAACAACTGAAATAATTATATATATTTTATGCATATATAAAAAGTAATAGTACAAGTAAGTTTGCATTTAATGTCTCTGGTCCTCTCAGATTTCCATCACAAAGCAGTGTAGAGCCCAGATTTCCCAGTAACTGACAGCAGGGTATGCTCTAGGGGACAACTGAGCTAAACAGGGTGTTGCAGTCAAAATGTAAGATCAGACTTTCTTCCTGCCTACCTCCCCAACCTTCCCACATCCGAGTTCTCACTTTCTGTGTTTTGGTCAGTTTGGCAACTTCAGACCAGGCCATAACCTGAAATCCTGCCTCTAACAGAGAGTCTAGAGTAATTAAAACTGAGAGGAAATGCTTTTCATACACACATACACAATTTTACAACACTGACCTTCACTGTTCTTAAAACTTAAGAAAAGCAATTACCTTATATTAAGCTTATATTACCTCTTATTAAGCTAAGCTGTTGTTAAGACTAACAATATAAACAGTTTCAGAAAGTATTCTACAAACTCAAACAAGAGCATGAACTAAGCACAGTGCTTTCTACGTTATCTGTAACTCTGGAAAATCCAGTTCTACATTGCCCAGATCTGTGGGGATATACAGGGAGGGTCGTATTAAAAATTCCCTGTTCTTATATTCTTCCTTCAACATCTGCTACTGGTCATAAGACACACACAAAGATACTCAGGCTGATAAATCTTTTGGTTTGACCAAATGCAGCTGATCTCGTGTAAGCACTGGAAAAAGCAGAAGACAGACTTGCAGATACGTAATCATCAGGGGCAAGCATGCCAGCTTTCTTCTGCGCTGTGTCACTGGTCCTTCATATTATGCCAGCTATTAAAATCCCAATGAACATTCCGGCACCTAGAAAGTGTTAAAGTGCACGCTCTGACCACATATCCTTTATGTAAGGTACAACTCAAAGGCAGAAGCTACTGGAGTTCCTAGGGCTTCTCTATACCCCTAGGAATTTATCACCCAGGTGGAACCTTCAGCTAGCTAGAGGTTAATAATATTAAGACTCCGAGGGCAAATCTGGCAACTGCCAGCAAACGCTATTATCTCAACTTCCTCTTACTGCTGTTCCTTCTGCAGCAAATACAGATGCACTTTTGCACTTCAAAGAATGGGTAACTACATTGGCTTGACTACAGTACAAGCATCCAAAGCAGAAAAGTACTTTTCACAAATCCAACGGATTTCTCTATCATAGGCGCTCCAAACCATTTCCCTTCACACATTGGCTTAAGATTTGATTTGACTCTTCTACAAGAAAACCCAGCATTACCTAAGTAAAGGTGAATTTTACATCATTCAGAGTTTATGCCTTATTTTCAGTCCTGTTACTACACCAAAAAAGCCTTAAGTGCAGATTAAGTCCCAAGAGCACAATTATAAGTGAGACACTGTACTACAGAGTGCTTGTCTTCAGAATTACAGTTGTGCTGGATATGCACAGTAAGCGGAAACACTTACAGTATTCCCTTTCTTGAATAGGGAAGATCTGACTCATCTAACTGCAAGTCACCATTTTCCAGTCTTGCAAAAAGCTAACTCATCGTTATGGATATCAGTTCACATTACTGCTGCCTACATAACAGATTCTTCCCCAAACTTGACTCCCAGTTTCCAGGAATAAGTTGCAATGGCTAGTACCCTTGCACAGTACTACTATTACATAGACGTCTAGTTAAAGACTAATAATATCCTGGATCACGAAGAGATCTTTATCACAGTTACTGTAAGCATTAAATAATTACATTTTGGTCCAGACCCTACAAAAATATTTTACCCAACTCCCATTGAGGCCAAAAGAACTTTTGTCACGGACTTTAGTGGGAAAAAGTCCAAAATGATGGAGAAAAATCTTCCACCATACAGACCTATAAAACACTGCTGCACATGGCAGGTTTCATCCTACGTTTAAAGGTAATAAAACACCATTACAACATGTCTGGCATTTCACAGACAAGGGAATTAATATTTTATTACACATATAAACATATTCTTAAGAGCAACTGAAGTGTAAAATCTCTGGCAGAAAAAAAGAACCTTCAAGGTGCTAAAATTCTTCAGCACTTTTGCCTTTAAAAATGCATTAAAATAACATCAAAGGCATAACTAAAAAATACAACGTTAAGC